GTGGTCAATGTCATGAGACAAAGTATATGTGAACCACTGTATGGAAAGTGAATTTGCTCTGTAAACCTTCACCCAAATCACAATTAAAAAAAAAAAAAAAAAAAGATACTGCATAACACATTTTATGTGGGTGATCCCTGAAAGACTTCACAACTCCCCTGTGGGGGCATATTACTATTATCCTCATTTTACAAGAAAAACCAGAAGATTAGAAAAGTGAATAAAAATACTCAAGGCCACTTGCCTGCCTGCATTAGTCTAACATAAGAATCCAAAGTCTCAATGTTAATGATACACGTGGATGCAGTAAGACCTCGTTAAATTAAAACACCAAAGTTTGAGAATTACCCAACTTTGTGAAAATCCTGACTTCTCTTGGTGAAAATCTTGATATGGACAATATTCTAAAATAAATTTAACTATTTCATATAGCTAGAAATAAGGTGAGCAAGTTACCAACAACTACTGCATAATCATTTGTCAAACACAAACACAGAACTACTAACTGATGAGATTAAAACTTACAGGCATATAGAACTTCCTGAGTTCTTAACTGGAAATATTCACTTAGTATACTTAGGGTTTGTAGCTGTGAGAAACAGTCCACTTCTGAAATGCTAGCAATTATTTAACCATAATTTATGTCTACACTAACAATGCAATTTCCAATATATTTTGAATTCAGGAAAATCTTAAGCTGCAAAGACCCCTATGTCTAACTATACCTTGCACTTCTGACTACACAGGCTAAATTATTAACTTTGGGAAATACTCCTTTAAGGGGATTGGAGAAGGCAGTATCAAATGTTTCATCTAGTTCTGTCACTTATGAAGATGTAAGCACAGCTTTAATTTACACATTACTGCAATAGTTACTGCACCTTTACTTCCTTGGACACTTAGTTCTCGTGGTGGCTCCAGGATATCATCAGGATGTGGGTTGCAGAGTCCATGGAAAGGCCTCAAGTCAAAGCACTCGTGCAGTAGTTGCATATTCACTCTCGAGCACACACTCATGAACCCAACAGCTATGCCTTCCACCTAAAACACCAAAACACCTCATTACTCCATCAGACTTCAACTGAATTCTCATCTTGAAACTTACACTGACATACGATATGTGGTCTGTTGGTGGTTTGGTAGTCATTTTGAGATATTTAGGAGATGAAGAAGTGTCCTTTATGCTCTAGTGTTCAGCATAATGGCACATAAAAGATGCTCAAAAAAATATTCAATGAACAACCACCCTAGATAATCGTAGAGGTGGTTCAAGAACTTTGGGATGATGCCAGAGAGTTCTTGAGGGAAAATTCCTGGACCTGAACACTTGCCCTCTTTGCCTTGACAATCTCCTTGCCTGTTGTGTATCCTCTCCATTTGATGCCTCGTCATTATCCCACTGTAAGCCTAGCCCTTCTGAGTACTTTCCTTCCTTCCACGATGCACAGTTCTCAGTAAGACTGGCCATCCGGCAGTGCCCATCTGATCAGTCTCGGAAACAGACAATCAAGCTACAATAATTAATGAGCAGGATTTTCAATGATAAAAAAAAAAAATACGTATTAAACTATTAGTTCTCAAATTAGTCTTCCACAAAGCATTTGTTCTCAAACATGTCTTTGAAAAAGAAATGTGTGACTCCATTTATTTTCTCCCTAATGCTGAAATACAAGAGTAACTTTGAAAAAATTAAATTCTCCATGCATATTTTTTTGCTTTATAGGCCACTCAAAATGATACTTGCAGTAAAAAAGCTAAATTTACACAGCTGTTTTATAAAGCTATTGACACTTTAATAAAAATCCAAAGTAAACATTTTAATTTTTACCCAAATAACAAGTGATTGTTTGTCTTGTTTGCACTTGCGAACAAAGGCTGCATAGTCACAGTTGCCTGGATTCTCTCTAATTTTAGGCCCAAGACTCAGCAGATGCTGATTAACCAATCCATCTACCATATGTGCACAGAGAGGCAGCCAGCCTCACTCTCGGCAGGGAAAATTGGCATCCATCTTGTTTCACAGAGAGATGTCCTTCTAATCTACAGCCGCATTGGCACAACAAAACTTCGATGGCCTAAAATACCTTTTGCTGGCTGCATGGCAGGCTGCATGTGCATGATAAGAATGTATTAGTAATGAGCTATTACACTAATGGCTCATTATGTTTGGAATTTGATTTCAAATGGCCTGGATCACACATTCTGATGAAAATGAGAAAAATATGTTTTGTCATTAGGAACAAAGAATTAACGTTCTCCAATTCTACAACCTGTTATACCCCCATCATTCATTCAGAGTCGTGACAACTCAAGAAAATTCACAATTATAGACTACAAACAACACAGCAAAGGTATACTGCAGAAGTATCTGCTTTTTCTTCTGTGTTTCTCTCAAATAACTATTCTGAATGGAGAAACGCTGGTCTTCAATATGAATTTGCAGGAGCATTAAAATGCACCTTGTGTACACGTCTGTGTGTGTTTATGTGTATTCAGGCAAAATGAATTGATTTAATAAACTTTTTACTTTATTGCCAGCTGTGATCTATCTTCCAGGTGACAGAGGTGCTTGCCAACACAAAGGTGTCTTCAACTATTTTATCCTGTAATGTCAAACTGTAAGTTTTACTGTCCTTATTTTTCCTGTGAAGATCTACACAATAACACATAAAATCTAGTGATCTAAATCACTAAAAAGCCCTGTGTACAGTGGCCCTGTCTTCACAAACAGGCACATTTATAGACATATGTACATTGTATAGTGGAGATATATATATATATCCATCCAAAGAGAGCATCCAAACAGCTCTGCAGTCACCTATCCTGTTGAGTGGTGATATTCCAGTGGTTCTGCTCTCATTTTTACCATTATTGGCCTTGATCCTCTTGACCTACTGCCAAGGACACTGCTGACCTGGCAGGCTCTCCCTTGCCCACAGGTTAGTGGTACCTACTCAGGCCACGACTGCACAAGCCCTGCAAGGGGCCAAAGAAGATGTTCTGCCTATCTTTATCTAGGAGCCTTCCTAGACCTCCAGTGTCCCTTACTTTAAATCTCTGTTTGGAGTAAACACTAGGTGTCAAGGAAAGGCATGATAAAGTTAGGGCAAGGAACTTACAGCAAAAACAGGGGCTCAAGACTCCTCCAAAGTAGTTTAACAAGCCATAGAAAGTCCAGTTTATGAATATTTTAACAAGTTAAGGGTTTCCCATGTAGCTCACACATACCCCCTAAGAATTCTACATGCAGGGCTCATTAATGCTGGTTTGGGGAGAAATGAACTTGATATACTTTACTCTGTTATCTCTGGTCACCTCATGGTTGCCTAAATGTAGTGGTGAGTTGGTAAAATGTTTTATTAGCATTCAGGGAATTAAAAGCCCCAATTTGTAGCATTTGCCCACTTCTCTGGTATAAATGAGGAGCTTTGATGGTGCAATGGTTAAAGTACTTGACTGCTAACCAAAAGGTCAGTGGTTCAAACCTACCAGCACTGGCTGGAGAAAGATATGTAAGTCAGCTTCTGTAAAAAGTTACAGCCTTAGAAGTCCTATGGGGCAGTTCTACTCTGTCCTATAGGGTTGCTATGAGCCAGAACGAACTTGATGGCAACAGGTTTGTTTGGGTGGTATAAATACTCCCATCACGGTCAATATCAAGCTATGATATTGACCGTTCACTGAACAGGGAGTTGGGAAGAGTGGTGCAGCAGCAGACCATCACATAGTATTGCCACTATCCAGACTCCGTAGACATAAGTAACAAGAGCATAGACAAAAAGCAAAATAATTAGGGGGTGATAGGTTTGGAGTATTTACTCATTTTATTTTTAGACAATTTATTACACTGTGAGTTTATATAACTTAATTTTAAACAATGGTTATGTTTAACAAAATGTGAATCATTCTTGAAGACTTAACAACTGGTTCTTACAAACCAGAGCAAGCTGGCCCCAGCATACCAGTGTCTGGAAGGGTGAGCATTAGGAAGCCCATGTGGTGGGAGAAGAAGGGCTCAGGGAAGCTGGTGGGAAAGCAGTAACAGAGTTTATCTTGATCCTGGAAGATTGAAAACAAAGATAAAGCTCAGGTCAGACTGGATATATACTCCTAGATCCTAACTGGCCTGCTAGAGGCCCACAGTTTCATTTCCACTGAACAAGATGTGATCTGCCCACTCATTCACATGAAGCCTCTGGTGTCTGAGGCATCCCAGCCTCTCAGAGATTGGGCTGGACTTCTTTTTGCCTCATCAGATACAAAAAAAGGACCCTAGCAGTGTTGGGACTGCAATTTTCAGCTGTGGCTTTTCTCTGATGTTTATTCACATTGAAAAAGTGTGACGAATGGCAAGAAAAAGAAGGAATGTGGGGGAAGAGGTCCTGTAGCTGTTTTCACAAGTGCTAAATTAATTGGTATAGGTGGAAGCTAGCACCTTAATACTGAAGAATTAAAGGGTTTCCCCAAACGCAAGGCCTGATTCAATCAGATGGGTACAGTTTGGTCATTAAAAGTCCTTATTGTGGTCTATATGAATCACTTTCTTTCTCAGTAGTTTTTGTCTCCTTATGTAAAGATATCATTTCTGCTAGGTATAAATGCTTCCTGACTCTGCCTTTTATCATCAGCCTGGAAATAAAGGCAGAATGAGAATATTATGAAATCAGTCCTTAAAGGACAATCCAAAATCCTATATGACAGTGATTAAAACACTTTCAATGTTGGAGAAACAACCATTATGGTCTAGTAACTCAGAATCTAATTTTCAGGACCAGCTCTCACCTTCATAAACTAATGCCCACATCTCTCTAAATTCATCCAGTTGGTCACCAGATGTCTGTGTTTTACCATGTAGATAAGTGCTGCACCACCACCTTGACCACAAATTAGAATTATTTGGGGAGATTTTAAAAAGTACTGAAGCCTGGGTCCCACCCACACCCCAAAGAGGGATTTAACAGGTTTGGGTGCATCCCTGACATCAGGGTTTTCAAAATGAAATATATCACAGCTATCATAAAATGTACCTTTTAAAATATACAATTCAGTGAGCTTTAGTACATTCACAGAGTTGTGCAACCATTACAACTATTAATCCCAGGACACTTTCAATTGTCTATAAAGAAACTCTATATTCATTAATAGGAGCTCTAGTGGCATAGTGCCTAAGGCATTTGACTGCTAACCAGAAGGCTGGTGGTTCAAACCCACCAGCCACTCAGAAGGAAGGTTATCTATTTCATAGTGATACCACCTTGGAAACCCAGGGAGGGGTTACTATGAGTCGGATCCCACTCAATGGCAGTGAGGTCTTTTTTTTTTTTTTTTTTTTTTTGTATTCATTAATAAGGAGCTCTGGTGCATAGTGCCTAAAGCACTGACTGTTAACCAGAAGGCTGGTGGTTCAAACTCACCAGCCACTCCTCAGAAGGAAGGTTGAGCAATCAACTTCCGTAGTGATACTGCCTCGGAAACCCAAAGGGTTGCAATGAATCAGGTCCAACTCGACAGCACATGTAGTTGTTGTTGTTAGGTGCCGTCAAGTCGTTTCTGATTCATAGCGACCCCATGCACAGCAGAACGAAACACCACCCAATCCCACGCCAGCTCCATGATCCCTGCTATACTCGAGCCCATCGTCGCAGCCACCGTGTCAATCCATCCCGTTGAAGGCCTTCCCCTCTTTTGTCGACCCTCCACCTTACCAAGCATGGCATACTTCTCCAGGGAATGGTCCCTTCTGACAACATGACTAAAGTAGGTGAGACAAAGTATAGCCATTCTCACTTCTAAGGAGCATTTCAGCTGTACTTCCTCTAGGACAGATCTGTTAGTTCTTTTAGCAGTCCACTCTTCACCAGCACCACAACTCAAAAGCATCAACTCTTCTTCAGTCTTCCTTATTCATTGTCCAGCTCTCACATGCATATGGGGCAATTGGAAATATTATGGCTTGTGTCAGGTGCACCTTAGTCCTCAAGAAGACATCCTTGCTCCTCAGCACTTGAAACAGTTCCTTTGTGGTTGACCTGCCCAGTGCT